GCTGAAGCCGCGAAAAGGCGTGCAATCCTTGCAATATTTCAAAATATTCGATTGTATTTTATTTTTTTCGAAACAAACTATTTCAGTGTTTGCCGGAAATTTTCTGTGAATATATTTGAAAGAGTGAGAAAAATTCACATAAAACAAGGGAAAATATGCATTAGTTTTCTTCAAGGAAAAAATCTGAGAAAAGCTTTTTGCATGAACGACGCAATCGGAGATGCGCATCATTTTGCGCGTATTTCAGACGGCAAAACTAGGTATATATTTCAAAGTTGTGCAGTAGCCTCTTAAAAATTATTATCAGGAAATTGTTGGGCAATTTTAATCGAAAATGTTATTAATGGAGCTATTGCACGTGTCAGGAATTTGCGATTTATGCACTAATTCATACATAAAATTTCGCGAGAAGCACGATGGTGCACTGGTTTTTCCGGTAACAAACTCCCAAACTCAAGAAAAGCTCTCAAAGTCGAGACCGACTTCGAGGGAATATCCCACACTATACCCTGAGAGTCCACCCCTATATCCAGACAAACTTTCTGTGAAAAGATAGGGATTCAATACATTAACAGGGTTGCCACCTTATTTGGGGACTAAACTGGAAACACGGCAACCCCTCTTATGAATGTATTCGCTACCTACCTTTGCATCGACTGTTTGCCTTGATATAGAGGTAGACTCTCAGGGTAGCGTGGGATGTCCCTTACATTACGGCCTAAACTTTGACAGCTCTTTTGAGCTTCGGAGTTGATTTCAGGGAAAACCAGTGGCACCATCGAGTTGCTCGCGAAATTTTTCACAAGATATAGTACTTAAATCGCAAATCCCTCACACACCGAGCAAGAGCTTTATTTTACCTTTGATTATACGCAAAAACTAACACAGCTTTGGGAAAAAAGTGCATGGTCACAAAAATTGAATTTTCCAAGTCAATTGGACGTATTCCTGCCCAACACAACTATGTGCATTATGACGTGAGCCCTGCTATGCGTATGATCTTATGGGTTTTAGGGCTCATGTCTCACTACACATAGTTCCATTTGTCAGGAATACGTCCAATATTCTACAACCTTAGAATGGAGTTATGTATGTACTTTCGTCTAGGAAACGTGAGTCTCGAGGGTAAGCTTACCGTGATTTTTACGCCATTACCTGGGGGCTGATTGTTGAAATTGATAGACTAAGCAATAGACAAAGAAGACATAGGCAGTATGGAGCGATCCTATTGGTTGAAATGGTTGGTTCCTATAGACTAAAGATGTAAATGAGGGACTAACTAAATGGTCTCTCGTGGGTTGCCGTTAGTAAGTCGATTATCTATCTCCATTGTCTATTGCAACCACCCGCTGCCACCAATAGGATCCCCCATATCGACGGTGAAACTACCAAACCACGTATCTCGTTTGCGGTGTTTAAAAATCTACGCTCACATTTTATTTTTTTGAAGTAGACCAAATCAAAATCATTCCTTGAAATTTTCACAGAATTTTTTCCGCACGAAGAGGAAAAATCACAGAAATTTTCAAGACTGGATGTTGAGTAGTTTTTCATTTAAAAAATAAAGTATGACAGGAAGTCTGCGACGTCGCAAACCGAGATACGTGGTTTGGTAGTTTCACTGTCGATATCCTTTTTGTCTTCTTTGTCTGTCGCTTTGTCTACCCATTTCAACAATCTGCTCACTGCAGGCTGATCGTTGATCGTGACAGACAAAGAAGACGAAAAGGAAATGGAGCGATTTTATTTGTGGGAGCAGGTGGTTGCAATCGACAAAGAAGCCAAGAAATAGATTAAGTAACGGCAACCCGCGAGAGATCTTATAGTTATTCCATCATTCCCACCCTACAGTCCATAACAACCACCCGTTTCAACCAAGGAGATCGCTCTCCGAGGATCTCCTTGTGGGATTTTCCCGTGGTCTTCTTCGTCAATAGCTTTGTCTATCAATTTCAATAATCAGCCCGCTGGCCAGTTTAGTCGACCGTCGGAACGCCTACACGTTGAGGCGGGCGCCCGCGAAAAACGGCGGGACTCTGGGTGACAAGAATTAATTCAAACGAGGGCCGGAACATTGTGTCGCGGCCGCGGACGATGCAGCGGAGCGGTAATTGAAAATGCGGTCGTATTAACAGCGTGTCAGACACACCACGCGACTCATCGCGGCCGGGACCACCCCCCGACGCCGGGCGTTGTCGCGCGCACCCCCGGCGCCCGGCGGCGTCCCGACGCTGCCCGGCGACGCTCCCGGGCGGAGGGACATCGCTCAACCCCGCGCCGCGGCGACGTAGTCATCGGCCGACGATAATTGATGACCGCGCCCCCAATTTGCAACACAATGTATCGGCTCACGCTCGTCTGTCTTTAACTCATTAACCGCTTATTAGCGCCCCTCGAAAACTCCCCGACGAATCGCCGGTGTGGTGCCAGTGGCGTTGCGTGTCCCGCAAGTGGGTATAAAATCCTGCTCTTGCGCTTTCGGGGAATTTGAAAGTGTTAAAAAGGGAAAAAAGTATTAGCTTTTGGTGATCATGTTTGAGATGGTGCACAGTGGATCGAGTCAATAAGAGATGTCGGACATGAAATTTTTGACTAAAACTGCAAATTTTGGTGCTTATTTTGACACATGATGAATTTGAAGGGGTGCTTCGACACTGAAAAAAAATTATCGGCGTTTTTACCAAGGTCCGTTGGTACCTTTACCGTCTCACTTCTTTTACCGATTATTGGTAATTTTACCAAGACAGACTGGTAAACTTACCTAAAAACCGGTATTTTTAATGTTTTTTTTTCAAGTAAGAATACCACTTTTATTGGTAATCAATGCCCGGTAACTTTGCCATTTTATCTCGGTAATTCTACCATAGTCGATAAAAAATATTGGCGTTTTTACCAAGGTCCAGTAAAATTACCGAGAAAGTTTAATAATTTTTCTATAAATGGTAATTTTACCAAGAAAAAACTGGGATCAAATAGAACCCTGAATTCTTGGTAATTTTACCATTTTCCTAGTAAGTACACCGAGATTTTTTTTTCAAAGCAAGTGGGTATAAAATCCCGCTCTTGCGCTTTCGGCGAATTTGTTCGCAAGTATTAGCTTTTGGTGAACATGTTTGAGATGGCGCACAGTGGATCGAGTCAATAAGAGATGCCGGACATGAAATTTTTGACTAAAACTGCAAATTTTGGTGCTTATTTCGTCACATGATGAATTTGAAGGGGTGCGTCGAGAAGAAAATCTCACGGTAAAACTAATGGAACCGCTTTTAGAACCTCAAAGTTTCGTATGAACGGAGTTATAAGCGTTTAAAGTTCCAAATTTTGTACGCCCTCTCCTATTGTCTCGATCCACCGTGTGGCGTTCGTATGTGTGTATTTTTTTCTATTTTTTCTAATAAGAGGATATAATTATCAAAATTTTTAAACTTTGATGAACCATAATCAGCTAGGCTTATCCGATCTGCAGGTCTGCCTACTACTTCTAGCGTTTATCGTAGTATATGTTTGTACGGAATGATGTTCAGCGAACGTGTCCGGATAGTGGCGTTTAGCGGTTATTGCAAGATGTGCAAGACAAATTCTGTGTAGACAATGCTAGATTCATGTTTTCAAAACTTCATTTCTAGACTGACTGTTCTCTACCATAACATGCTTGACTGAATAGCGAGCAACATCCGTTACATGTTTGCAAGAACTCCCCTCCTCTCCAAAGTTGCCGTCACTCTGCGAATAGGTCAGTTGGGCTGGTCGCAGTGGCGTATTTTCGTGCTTGATTCTTGCAGAGCAGTTAAAATAACAAGATCTCTCCAAACAGCAACTTCTACGTTCAATACTAACCAAAATATTGCCTTTGGTTTCTACCACCGGTACTTTCCAAAGGGCGATTTGGGCTAGTATTGCAAGTAGAGATGTTTCTCTTTAGACAGCATTAATTCTTTTTTGCTAATCTACACACATCAAGCATAAAAGAACGATTCTGTGACCAGCGCAACTGACCAATTCTACATGGATAGGGCTTCCAAGAAGCCCAGCGTATCCCCATCCGTACACCCACTATGCGTAAAGGCACTGTTCGCCAAGGTACGCCTGAATGCCATCCTCAATTCCCTTCTTGATTGGGTTGATCAAGTGGGGTCTCAACTTCCTCTCACATTTTTTCACGTGGAATCTGGAGAGGTTTTTAATTACAATCCGATACTGCTTCGCATGCTCGGAGGAAACGCAAAGGTTTACAGAGGAAATGAATCGGAGCTCAATTATCACAAACTGCCAGAGGCTGAAATAACTCTCGGCCCGATGAAAAGATTCTAATTAAAGCTTAAGACTACAGAGCTCCTTTTTTGCCTCCTTTGATTGGTCTCTGACGTTTGAGGAACCCGATAACGAATGACAAACAATAAAATTAATCCTGCTTAGTAATAGCAGCATGCACTTCGCGATTGGTGTTAGGTTCTGTTGTCTGTGTATACTGTTTCGCGCTGTTTGAATTCTTGTTTGTGAACCCTTCAAACGCTTATTGCAGGCATATTTTCAATTGTTTCCGAGGTAGGATTAAAATTTCAAACCGAAGATCGAAATGAATGCGCTATGCAAGAATGCCCGTAATCAGGATTTCTTTCCTCGGATAAAAATTCTCTTATGACTGCTTTTAATAAATTATGTCAAAATAGATTACAAGTTAAAACGCTCAAGAATGGTTTATTAATGAAATCAGGCGCTGTTGGAAGAGGGATTTACAGGACTCTAACATGTGCAAAAATTTACAAACAGACTCCTGATATTGGAAGGAGAGGGAGAAGGGGATCGAAAATTTGAAAAATTGCCGGATGTTCCTTGTCGGCGGTCTATAAAATATTTCGTGTTTGAGAATTTTGAAGCAAAAGCCTACTGCGTAAAAATGAATTATATTGCATTAACAAAGCGAGTACGTACATTATGAAACATAGATGGTCCTAACGGTTTCGAAAAACGTACTAGAATTTGAAACTTTTTGATTCCAGGCTGTGGAATCCCGAACAAACAGCAACGCATCGTGGGTGGACAGACAACCTACGTGAACTATTATCCATGGATGGCTCATCTTCTTTACCGCAACAAATTTTACTGTGGGGCAACTCTCATCAATTCAAAATACGCACTCACTGCTGCTCATTGCGTTTACGGGTATGTGACCGACTTCTATCTCAAATTATGCTAGAAAAATAATTAAAATGGCTACGGAAAACATCCTCTGAAAAGGTTAAAGCACCACGAGAGAATATTTTGAAAAGGAATCGTGCATATTGATAGTAAGGCTGAAACGAAATACAACATCTCATTCGATAGAGATATTTAAAAGGGTTTGTCGTCTCAAAAAAGTAGGTTCCAATGCACCTGCCTAGATTGAACACTCTTTTCTTCAGTTTTGCAATAATTTTGTAATTTTTTTTTATTATTTTATATATTTTTGGCTTCTATTTCCCCTCAGAATAGTGCTTCCCCAGAACCACTTCACCATTTTATTACTTATTGTATCCTGCCCATTTTTTCTTTTTTTTTTTTTTTTTTTTTTTTTTTTTTTTTTTTTCAATGTCGTAAATGGGGGGATTCTTCATTTGCTTCAATTTTTTATGAAATAATTTTGTTTTGTTTAGATTTGACAAGAAGAACATAGTAGTCCGGATCAAGGACCATGATAGGTCATCGCAAAACGAAACTTATCACATCGATCGTAAAGTGAAAACGGTTATAAGATACAAAGGCTACAGTCCGAGTACCTACAACCATGATATCGCTCTATTACGCCTGGACGAGGAGGTTCAATGGAACGAGCTTCTTCGACCTGTCTGTCTCCCACGACCAGGTATTTATCATTTTCTCTTCTCAAAAATTATTCGAATAGAGTGAAAAGATCTCAGTTACACTTTTTTCGTCCATTTCTAGTTTTCTTCTCTCTGTTTATTAATTCCATTAATACGAGGACTACCTTCTATCCAGGAGTCACGTCGTCGTCTTGGAGGCTTTTAGGATTGATCAATAATGGGAATTTTTTTCGGTAAAAGAGGAAATGAAAGATACATGTAAAAGAATACAACGTCAAAAGTTACGTCATACGTCAGCCCTGCGGGCTGATTATTGAGATTGATAGACAAATAAGACAGATAGAAAATAGAGCCATCCTATTGGTTTGGTTGAAATGGGTGGCTGTCACAGACGAAGAGGGGAAATAGAGACTAACTATATGATCTCTTGTCGGTTGCCGTTAATTAATAACTCTATTGCTTACCTCCTTTGTCCATTGCACCAACCCACTTCCCACCATACCCACTTCTACCAATAGGATAGCAATAGTTTCCCTTATTCTTCTTTTTCTATAGCTTTGCCTATCAGTCTCAATAATCAGCCTGCTGGTCTCCCTGTCTCCTTCCCATTACGGACCCGTAAACGCGGGATCATACTGTCACGCCCCTCCTTAAGAGCATTGCATCCTTAACAATGCTCCCATTCCATATCCATCAAAAGTTCCGGGATTCGGAACTTGGGTGTTCCAATTTCTCCCATCCATGACCGTCGAAAGTTCCGGGATTTTTTCTAGATTTTTACTAAAATTCCGGAAAATACAAAAGCTCCGGAAAATTTTGGGAATTTCAAAAGTTCCGGGTAAAATTTAGGAAAATCTCGAGAAGTTCCGAAATTTGTAACTAGGGGAGCACTGGCATTTAATGAATAGTTTCCAAATTGTTCTTTTTTGGGGGGGAGGAGGGGGGGGGTCTTGACCAAGGAACTGTCAATCGGATATCATGACCGTGCCAAAGACCCAGCGGCCAGCGCGCACGAGTGAGTTCCGATGCCTGGAGAAACCGAATTATCTCACGGCGAGGGTCGGACGATGCGCCAAGTACACAAGCGATCCTTTGAGATGAGATGAGATTTCATGAATATTCGCGAGGCGAGGAGGCCTTTGGCCGCCCATCGGTTTCCGACAAAGGCGTCGGCGTCGTCGTGCCTAAGGCGTCCGTGCTCACACCTGGAGCGACTTATCCCGTCACCGCGAACCGCTCTCCCCGGGAACAAAGCAAACTAGTTCGGAACTCCGATTGAGAATCAAGATAAGGTTTCGGTGCAGCAGATCGTAAGGGATATCGGTAGCTGGACTCAGTTGTTCAATCCTGCCGTGCTAAGGAAAAACGCCGTATGAACCTTCAGGCGCTGCCAAATTTCCTCTGTAAAAAAGATAAACATATTGGGAAAGTTTAGAGTGTTTTTTCTCCAATTTTTCAGAAAATGTTGTCCGCAATTCAATCTAAAATATCTGAAAATTTTAAGGAAAAATATGCATAACTTTCTTCCGAAATGAATTTTTCATCAGGGGAAATGTGGCAACATGCGAATATTTATACGGCGTTTTTCCCTAGCACGGCAGAATGATAGCGTATCAGAAAATGTAAAGTTTGTGTCGAGGATTTTGATTGAGCTCACTGATTATATCGATAACCAGTGAGTCGATTGCGATGTCTCATTAGACCACACGAAAGAGAGATGTTGAATTAAACCTATTAAAGCTAAGTTTCTACATCAAAATTAACGTATAACACGTTAAATATCGACGATGCAACTCCCAAATCACTTATCCCTTTTGCGGTGTTTAAAAATCTCCGCTCCTTTTCTTAAGGAGAACAAACCATCATTATTCTTTGAAGTTTATCTAAATTCGCTTTGTACAGAGAAGAAAAATGGAATGCAAACATACTTTTTTAATGCATGGTTCGATGCATGGTGGAGTGCGTGTGGTAAAAACAATGAACATGAATTTAGTTTGGTTTGGTCCAAATCGGCAACTAAACTAACTCCCTGGCAAAGCGGAAAGTATCACCAGGACTTCAAGGCGCTGAAAGCTGAAGTCGTGGGTCGTGGGTCGCGCCTCTTAGGTTCTTTGCCAATTATAGGTACATGTCCTACGTCAATGGAATTATTGTAATTTCGACGAGTTACACGCAAGCCGCTTGTAAATCCCTGGGGACAGGGTGGCAAAATTTCATAAGAAATGAAATATTCTTTAAATTTCAGAAATTTATGAAAGATAGGTATTGAAAAATACCAATTCCTTTCATGTTTCGCAAATTGTAAAAATCGTGACTTTCGTCAATTTTTGTGTGTTTGAATGCGGGTTGGATACTCTAGCCCCTGAAAAATCTGAAATATTTCACAGGCTCGTGAAGTTGCATGCAATATTTCACTGAAATTTCCGATCTTTTATTCTTTTCTTACGTTTTATGGCACCCTGCCCGGGAATCACGGACTAACTTCGACATATGATTTTGAATTAATGACGAAACTTACTAATTATTTCTTAATTTGTTTTATGCAGGACTATCATACACGGGCCACGACGGGATTGTGACTGGTTGGGGTGTAACAAAGCAAGGTGGACAGGTTTCAGATACCCTGCAAGAAGTGAAAGTGCCTATCATGTCAAACTCTGAGTGCAAGAAAACCAAGTACGGAGAGAAGAGGATAACAAACAACATGCTTTGCGCCGGCTATCCAAAGGGCGAAAAAGATTCTTGTCAGGTAACCCAGACCACATTTAATTTCCTCATTGAAGAACCTCGAGTTTCCGATAGCTTAAGGCAGGGTGAAAACATTTTATGAAAAATAAAATTTTGAAATTACACGGGAAATCTTTCATGAAATTTTAAAAATGCATGATAAATATAGAAAAATACCGGTTCCTTCTTAATTTCTGTTACTTTCTCTTATTTTTGTGTGTTTGAGTGTGGGTTGCATACTATAGCCCTTAAAAAAGATGAAATATTTCACAGCCTCGTGAAATTTCATGAAATATTTCACTGAAATTTCCAATATTTCATTTCGTTCTTCCGTTTCATGCCACCCTGGGCTAAGGGCGAGCGCGTTGTCGGTTTAAGGGATGCTAAATTATCTTTCAAAATTTGAAAATTAATTTTTGCACGACTACAAAGAGGCCGTTATCATATCTATATTTTATATAAATATTTATTTGTTTGTATGTGTATTGGTGACCCGAATTTAACGCTTATTAGTCGAAACACCTATTCCCTTTCAAGATGGCGACCTTAAAATTGCGGAAAATGATATTTTTCCGATTCCTCAATTAATTTGATTCAAACATAGTATCAGAGGTGTTTTTTTGAGAACACTTGATTCTTATCAAGTCTGCGGCCTAGAAATGGCAGGAGACTGGTATTTTTACGAAAAAATGTACTATTTTTATTTGGGAAGGATTGCGTATTTTTAGAACTTGAGTCATATATGCGTATTTAGCGTCTCAAAATTCTTGATATACGAAGTTTGAAAGTGCCTAAAGTGATGGAAATGTAGTGCCTGTGACTAAGAACGGGACACAGCGACTGTTATGCATACTGGAATCATGACAGGGACAGGTATTCTCCGGCAAGCAAACGCTGCGCATCCTGTTGCACATGAATATTCCAACGGAGAAAAGTGCGGGCTCATTTTGGAGCACAACTAATTGGTTGTCTAAGCGCCTAAGTTCATCGCTCATTCGATGAACTTTCCTCGCGAGCTCCGAGGCCGAATACTGTTTTCTAAATGTTTCCCGACTAGCGAGTTTCCCGGCTGATTGTTCCGCTTGAAAGTTCCTACTTTTAAAAGTTCGGCTATGCTTTTAATAAGGCGTCATTTGACTCCGGAAAAATGTTAAACTTTCGAGCCCAGTGTTGCATGTGTCGTATGGCTCCTCTGCCGTGCTAGGGAAAAACGCCCTATAAACATTCGAGAGTTGCCAAATTTCCTTTGATGAAATGTTTATTTTTGAGGAAAGCTATGAATGCTTTTCCTTAAAATTTTCAGAAACTTTAGGTGAAATTGCGCACAAAATTATCTGGAAATTTGGAAGGAGAATTTGCACAAGTTTACCAGGAAATTCGTGTTATATCAGAGGAAATTTGGCAACGCTTGAAGGTTCAGATGGCGTTTTTTCTTAGCGTGGCAGTCTTGCGCATTCTTCCGGAAAAACTGCATTTTTCGTGAATGATGTCATTCCCACGGAAATTATTGCGTTGGAATAAAGTGTGAGAGTGTTAGGTAAAGTTAGGTCAAGTTCCAATTTTCTAATATAACTACTTATTTGTGGCCTCTTTTGGGACTGGAAAAGGGGCTTAAGCCCACTCAATCTCAAAATAGAATTATTGATATCGGAGAGTAGTGGTTTCGGAGACAAAGAACGCCTACAAAATTGGAAGAAAAATAACGCCGCACGGAGGATCGAGCCAATAGGAGAGGTCGCACAAAATTTTGAAACTTTAAACGCTTATAACTCCGTTGATGCAAACTTAAGGGTTCCAAAATTGGTTGAATTGGTTTCCCCGTGAAAATTTCTTCTAGAAGCACTCCTTAAATTTAAAATGTGAAGAAATAAACATCCAGATTTGCAGTTCTGGTCAAAAATTGAATGTCTGACGTCTCTGATTGGCTCAATCCACTGTGCGCCGATAGATTTTGTGGTAGGGATGGGTTAAAGTTTTAAGACTTTCGAGCTTGCGCATATTACGATTCACGGTTTCAATTCCCGCAAATATTCATACCAATTAACCGCACATGAGGTACTATGAAAAAACCAACTGAAGAATTATCCAATTCGTGTGACAGGCTCAAAATTTACGCCACAACTCACGCCTTGAAATTGAAAGATGTAATGCAACTATTTTAACCTCACCGTGGCGTAGATTATGTAAGAATCAAAATTGAGGCTCACTGAATGAATGACCTGTGTGATGGAGAGACTGTGGACACTGTCATGTAAACGATTGCCAATGAAATCGATTATTTTTGAAACCCTCTTGGAAATTTCAAAAATCGCAACTCATACTCATAACGTTGAACCCGTTGGGCTCAACATGTTCCCCATAAGATTTTTAATAGAAAGGATTGGCACAAGAGTGCGTTGAGAGTGTATGCAGTTGCGGCGACCAGTCGCCACAACTGCAAGTGTTCGGGTCGCGACCCGCGCACATGCGCACATGCGTGCAGCGCTTACTGAAGCGCATTTTGCCTTCACTTTTCCAAGTAGGCAAAATGGCCTTCCCGCGTGGTTGAATAGTGGTATCACTAATAACGCGAAAGTATGCGTTGAAAGTGCTTGCAGCTGTGGTGACCCTAGCTCCATCGCACAACGTTCATTACCTACTGAGTCGCGTATCGCCTTCACTTTTGCAAGTAGGCAAAATGGCCTCCTGCGTGGTCGAATAGTGGTATTCCTCATAGTGCAAACATGCTATCTTCGTATTTCTTTCTGTTTCATTGCTTTTTAAAACATTTCTGTTTGTTTCTTGGCTGACTAGGTTTCTTTGACTATTCGTTTGAATTTTAACGAGTTTCAATTTGTACCTCGGTGCACTTTATCAAATGCCTAGTCTTTTAATAAAATAACTAGGCCCTTAATCAAATGCCTGGACAGGTAGTCAAACATAAAATTCTACTATTTGCCTAGGAATTCGACAAAATTCCTGATTTGATTGTATATATATACCTGATGTAAATCTGACCCGTTCTTTTTGCGTCTGGAGATGAACGTAAAATTTGTTTTCTAATTGTCTACATGAGGCAGATTTCATGTATTTCTCTCGAATGAATCCGAAAATTACTTTAATAACTTACCGTTGCGTACACCAATTTGTCGAAAAGTCAAATTTTTCAAAAATCGGGGTTTTCGGGGAAAAACTCCATCAGAGTTTGAAGGCCTGTCGTAATTTCTCATTTTACCGGATAAAAAATCTGTCTCTGTTTGTTTTTGGGTGCCGGAATCCGATAATGTTTTGACGGGATACCTCGTTAATTGTTAATCATTTTACTTTACTGCACTTAGCCGCACCCCTAATGCACAGTGATGCTAATTTGTGTCCTATCTGGCGGTCAGAATCCCCCAAAAAATCCACTGATCGGCCAGAAATGATCGTCTCATGTTTACGTCTTCGGGCACGCTCGGGAAAATTAAATATTTAAAAATCGAGAGGACCACTTTAGGACGTAAGGATAGACGGAAGTTCCCGGCGGAGTCCGGCAAGAAGTGCACGGAACCACGGAGTTTGGCGGCGAGTTGAAGTGCTGTCCACCACGCTTGCAAAATCTCCAACACCCCCCGATCCTCCCCGTGGAAAACCTTAATTTTCGAGCTGGCTTCGGCAACGTCGCACATGGAAATGGACGGTAATTAACCGGATGCCGCAAATCCCGACGGGGGCAAGCGTGCTGCCACGCCGATCGAAAACAGCGTATCTCGCGGAGGTTTTGATGGGATTTAGGTGTTTCTTGCTTAGGGGGCTGCAAGGGGCAGCGCAAACCCCGTTACCACGCTCCCCGGCAGAACCCACACTTTCGACGATTTAATTCCCTGAATCCGCGCGTTGAGCCCTGATGTTCGCAAGACCCCGGCTCATCTTTGGATTCTGATTTTCGATGGATCAACTCGATAGATCTTGATCGCCAAAAACAACGTCTATTAAGCGTATTCGACAGAGCCATAGTACTTTATAAACAGACTGCAGTGTACATGGACACGGAAAAAAAGTGTTAGGGGTTTCCCCATGAAATGTTGGTTCTATATCCCAATTTGTTGACAATTTGTTGATTGAGATGGGCATTTCTAATTGATTGTGGTAGTACTTACCGCAACTCAAGTTGCACTAGAAAAAAATTCGCTTGGATCTTGAGTCCAGACTCTTAAAAACATTGACAAGAAAAAAATCTCTTGATTCAATCGGACTTTTTGCTTGAATTAAAAGGAAATCCGCTTAAAACAAGAAGCTCGGCTCTTCGATTCAAGGAAAAATCGGATTGAATCAAGAGTATTTTTTCTTTTCAATGTCATTAAGAATCTGCACTATAGATAGATCCAAGCTACTTTTTTTTCAGTGTGGGGTAGTACCGCAGCATGTGGGTTAGTAACCTAATTTATTGGGGTGCTACCACAATTAATCGGGAATGCCTATATCATCCTAGATCCTACAACGCCTACCTCTTTCTTTTCACAGAGTGCAAAGTAAAACGAACTGAAATTAGTATACGATGGCAATCTGATTCGAGTATACTTTGATTTTTTGGCTAGCAAAAAGTTTGCTTTTATGAGGACAAATTTGCTGATTTTTCAGTCAAGAGTTAAATCTGAAAATTTTCAACATGTCAACCGTCCTTTATGGACAATCTTCACGAAGAATCATACATTTTATAAATTAAGGTGTTCGATTCTTTCTGACGCTGTCAAGTGGTCCATGTGACCAAAATATCACAGCGGATAGTAAAGTACAGTACTATGGTGTGTGGAAAAAAAAACAGTTTTCATTATTTTTAGGGACAATTTTAACGGTCAAAATTACTTCACTGTTGCAGGGAGATAGTGGAGGACCTCTGCATGTACAAAACGACACTTACTATCACATTGTCGGTAAGTACTTAATCTTTTGTGTATTCTTGATGAATGTGTACGTGTCATTTTCTCAATCGATGGCTAAAGTTGAAAAAGAGTGTTGGTTAGTTTGCCAACTTGCATTAAAACTCAGTGCAATATTTTGGTTGTACTCCTTCCGATGATGAACTTTACCTATTCAATTTGTAAAGAACTATCTTCAATCTAATATGGGTCCTGAGACCGATAAGAATACGCGCATGTCGAGGCTCATACTCCAGTGGAGATAGTTCCTTTTGATTTTTTGTATAAATATATAACATAATCGGAGATCCCGAAACATCGCGGTGCCGTTACGCATTTTTCGACTTGAGCCATCGATACGGCGACAAATCGTATATGGTAATCAAAAAGCAATCCGAAATGCGAGATTTTTTCCATCCTCCGTCAATTGCTTTGTTCAATCCACTTGGCTCTCGCGTCCCTCATCGACAGGGAATAATATTGGTTTGATGAGCCGACCACTGCGCCGGAATTTGATTATAAAAACAACACTCGTCAGATTACGCTCCGGGAAAAAAAGGGGAAATGGGGGAAGGGGGAAGGGGGGGAAGTAGACAAGAACGAGGATCATTTGTAAGTGATGAAGAGGAGTCTCGAAGGTCCTTGAGGGAAACATCCCGTGTTGGGGGTGCCGCCGCTATCGAGGGAGGGGGCGAGGGTTGTAAGCTGAGTTATTTTGCCACGAATAGGGTTGAGTTGGGCGACTCCATTAATGGGAGGTGAATTGTGCCAAGATTGTGGGGTTAATTTGCATAAATTGAATCGGACCCGGAATGAAATGCGCTGTGGTGACCACTCTACGAATTTTTACCCGTCCTCTTTTCCCGACAGTCCAGATTGAGAGGAGAGATACTCGTTTACTTTTTTTTCCATCGGTAAAACCGTGCTAGCAGAGTCGAGTGAAATGGTCTTAAAGGTGAAAACAGATGGAAATGAGATAACTTTACCACAATTTAAAGCGGTTGATGCATAGGTTGATCCAGACATTTCGAAAGGGGGGAGGGCGTAAGGGGGCTGTGGGAGCACCCCCAGACTTTTTTCGAAATTTTGAAGCAGCTGTTGATTTTGGAACGTAAATTTCATGTAACATGCAGTTTGAGTCAATTTTTTCATGAATAATCACCGAAGATACACATCCTTACGCCTCCAAATATCTTTAGATTAAATGCAAATTTCTTGGAAAAAATTGATTTTCAGCAAATTTCAGTTAAAATTAAATAGAGTACATGTAAAAAGCTCAAGGAGAGATAGAATGTAAACTTATTCCCGACACAAATGTGGCAACATTCGAGTGGTTATGCAGCGTAAGTGGTGCGTTAGTGGTTATGCGTGGCTAAGCGCGGCAGTATCCTGATTGTGAACTATAAAATATTTGACAGTGGTGGCAACTGAGCAATGGTAACAAACACAAAGACAGCCAAAAATACGGACGTGGGGTTAATCTTCATTCCCCCTCCGCCCGCGCCCCCCTCCTCTCATTCACCACCCCCTCCGCCTCTTAACTCGCCGACATAAAGCTCAAGCCACGACAAACCACACTATATTGCTCGGATGCATAACGAAATTAGTTTTTTCTTTCTCGCAATTCCATAATTTACCCTTCCTCTCTCCTTCGCCGAATCTGGCCGAAAACGATTCTTCTACTCGACTGGAATGTTCAATCAAACATAGATGCATCCTGAGACAAATTTCCCATTAGGGGCATAAATATGCAGCCTAAATAAATTCAACTGAGAAAAAAACACTCAAATTATGGTCCGAGCAATGTTTTAAAAAGGAAGGATAAAACGGACGGTAGGTCCACAATTTTTTGAGGGGAAAACAGACCGACCAAAAATTGAATTGAGATACCTCCTCAGAACCATGCAATACACAGTACAACTTGATATTTTAACTGACCTTTCTTTATCCTGTGTAGGATATTCTGCAAGAATTCTTTTTCTTAAGAGAAAATAATACTTATATAATTTTCATTGAAATGTCACAGTTCGTCGCTCCTTTGACGTGAGGTCGTGCCTCAATCACTTGTGAGCCCTTTGGTCCATATAACCCCATGTAACTCCATGTAACTCCGATTCTCTCGTTGGGGCATATCTACACTGAAAAAAAATTCTCGGCATTTTTACCAAGGTCCGTTGGTACCTTTACCATCTCACTTTTTTTTACCAATTATTGGTAATTTTACCAAGACAGACTAGTAAGCTTAGTTAAAAACCAGTATTTTTACTGTTTTTTTTCCAGGTAAGAATACCCCTTTTATTGATAATCAATTTCCGGTAACTTTGCCATTTTATCTCGGTAATTCTACCACAGTCGATAAAAAATATTGGCGTTTTTACCAAGGTCCAGTTAAATTACCGAGAAAGTTCAATAATTTTACCGAGATTTCTCGGTAGAATTACCAATTCCATAAATGGTAATTTTACCAAGAAAAAACTGGGATCAAACAGAACCCTGAATTCTTGGTAATTTTACCCTTTTCTTAGTAAATACACCGAGATTTTTTTTTCAGTGTACATTTCCAAGTGAACCCCAGAAAGCATGGACTGACATGGACTACAGGGCCCGTGTAGAGATGAAGAGACGCCCTTGCGTCAGAGGAGGGACAAATTGATCGACATTATATCTAAAATCAACTATCTTTCCTTCCTAAAAACATACCTGCTTCGCATATAAATTGTTGAGAAAACAACTAATGCAAATGAAAATGATTTATTTTTAACAGGGATCGTCTCTTGGGGAGAGGGCTGCGCCCAAGAAAACTACCCTGGCGTTTATTCTAGAGTGAATCGCTACCTCACTTGGATCAACAACAACACACTTGACACATGTTCCTGTGGTTATTATTAGTACAAATAGCACCAACACGCACCCTCAGTACAAACGAAGCTGTCTCTCTCATCACCCGCGAAAATCTCTTCATGCGATCGAAGCCAAAATTACATCCGCAAAAAATCCGACCGGCTCTGACAACATCATCCCCCGAATGAAACGATGACAAACATAAATTCGCATTATAAATCAAGCGAGACGAAAAGAAAAGATATCCCGAATACTACATAATGCTCGTTAAGTTAAAACTTTTAAGAAGGTATTGTTAATTTACAAATGTGACCGCAGATTCAAACTTTGATTCATGACAAATTCAAGACTTCACAATGCCGTGAAGTTTCAGTTCATTTTGTAAAAATGTATTTTGAATATTATGCATGAATGTATAAAATCGTAAATTGTAACTTAAATAATTTTTTCAGTTCAATATATTATCTATAAAAAATCAAAAAAATTTAAAAAAAAAAATTTCAAAAGAACAAGCTTTCACCTCTATTCTTTTTCGACTGAGATGCATTTGTTAAAACCCAAAAAATGTATGCTACATATTAGGGTGAATCTATTATTTATTTAATCTCCAATCAAATGAACACGATTTTTTGTCAAATTTGCAATACTCTCTGGAAATTTTAACAAAAATATAATTTTTTTTTGTATTTATAAATCATTTCAATCTTCTCATTTTGTTACGTCCCCTATAGGTCACGTCGAACAGCAATTATCATTTAAGGGTACCACGAGGCAAAAGTGAAGTATATTTATAAATCGAGGCTGATTGAAAAATGCGTTCAATGTCGGAAAAGTGTGTGGAAGCTTATCACACCCTGAGGTTCAAATATCACAGAATAAAATAAATTTTAGTCCACACAACCCCCCCCCTCCCCCGTAAGAAGTTACCTGGTATACTGTCAGAATACTTTTACTCGAATTTTCAAAAACCTCGGACTTTTCAAACATGTCACTCTACTTCTCCATCACTAGAAAAAAACACATTATATCTAGAGTCCAGACTCTTAAAAACATCGACAAGAAAAAATACTCTCGATTCAATCAGATTTAAGCTTAAATCTAGAACCAAGCCTCTTAATTTGAGCGGATTTCCTTTTGATTTAAGCTTAAATCTGATTGAATCAAGAGTCCTTCTTCTTTCTAATGTTTTCAAGAGTCTGGACTCTAGATCCAATGTAATTTTTTTTTCCAGCGATTCGTCATACCAAATAGCATTCTAATATAGTCAGCAATGTCCGCAATGCCCAGACATTCATAACGTCTTGTCGGAGGCGGTGGAACCAACCCACAAAAATCTCGCCGAAGTTCATTAGATTTTTTATTCATCAAGTCAACGTTCTCTCCTCCGAGTCAAATTTAACATTTTTCACAAGGTAAGCTTTTAACATCGACTGATTCACATACCTAATTGAGCGCCATTCGGGGCGAAGCACGAAAAACGTCAAAAGATTTTCACGGGGGAAGCAGGGAATATTCCCAGATTTTGCGGGCGACAATTACTGGCGCTAATCAACCGGCGCGTCTTCCCGTTGGCGGAGATAAAAATCCGAAATCCCCAGGAAGGAAGATCGAAGCGGGGCGGAAAAACAAAATTGACACATTATGAAATACGGCCAGGCAGCGGTAAATATTTGCAATAACGCGTCGATTCTATACGAAGCCTCGGGGAAATCATCGCTGAAAATTCGAGCCGAGTTACTGCGATGCGAAATCGCCGGGAAAAACGACGTAACTCAATACCCGCGGAAGCGTATAACTTACATTGATGAGAGGGCTCATACCGAAGACGAGTTGGGTGGTTTCTACGAGGCGGGGATGGCGGGAGGGGGGGGGGGGGGGGCTGCATTCAAGTATTCGGTGCGTGCCTCGGTTTGTTTAAGAGTTCCAACACATCTTGAATAATATTTAAGACATGAGCTGCTGGGATTTGAGCTCATCATCCGCTGATTCTTCGTTTGTCACTCCCGGTTCGAGTTCACTAATTCAACGACCGCTTTCCCGCCGAGGCTCCTGTCGGGACGTGAGCGCCGATTCTCAAGAGCGCATCGGTATTTTCCTCCGGAATCTGATCAACAATTAACAGCCCCGACCCGACCCTCGACGAGCGGCAGCTTTCGCCGTCTTAGCGCTGAGCAAGTGAAGAGCGGCTGCAAGAACTGCGGATTGTTGAAATTGATAGACAAAGCGATATACAAAGAAGACATAAGGAGTATAGAGCGTTCCTATTGGTTAAAATGGGTGGCTCTTGTATAACTACACGGGAAAAAAAAGCGCGAGGTTGTTGGATGATATGGACATTTCCAATTAATTGTGTTAGTATCCCAATTAATTATGGTAGCACCCCAATTAATTGGACGTATTTCTGTCAAACGGAACTAAGCGGAAATTGAGTTCCTTTTGAAGCTTTTAAAATCCCGGATAGCGCGTTCTGTCAAACGGACCTAAGCGCCACGGAAGAGCATTGCGAGTATAGGAGGAGCGAGCATCGCGTTCCGCAACACTCGCCAATCCAAGCCCCCCTCTACTTTCCTCCCCCTATGGCGCTTAGGTCCGTTTGATAGAAATACGTCCAATTATGGTAGTACCCCAATAAATTAGGTAACGAACCCAAATGTTGCGGTCCTACCTTAACTTGAGTTGCGGTACTAATACAATTTATTAGAAATGTCCATATCATCCAACAAAGTGGGTTAGTACCACAGTTTTAGGGGATAACCCCTGACACTTTTTTTTATCCGTGTAAAGGGTCTCTTTTAGGGTTAGTCTATTATTTACGTCTTTTATCCATTGCAACCACCCGCTTCCAGCAATAGGATCCCTCCATATCCTTTTTGTCTTCTTTGTCTATCGCTTTGCCTGCCGATTTCAATAATCAGCCCGCTGCTGTTTCATTGTTGAAATTAATAGACAAAGCTATATGGACAAAGGAAACAAAAGGTACACGGAGGAATCCTATATTGGTGGAACCAGGTGGTGGCAATGTTCAAAGGAGGTGGGTAAGAGACTTAACTAACGGCAACCCACGAAAAAAATTATAGTTAGTCCATCATTTTCTCCCTCAGTCTAGGAACCACTCATTTCAACCAATAGGATCCCTCCATACTCCCTATGTCTTCTTTGTCTGTAGCTTTGTCTATCAATTTCTACAATCAGCCGTTACGATCGTTGACGGGGAGTAGTAGGTACGGCAAAATTGACGTCATTTCCGATAAAACAGCATTAAATCCATACCATACTACGGGAAAGACAAAATGTTACATGGTATAGTGATCAAGCTTTCCCAATATGGAGCCATATGTGTGTGAAAAAAGAATGCAAATGGAGTAATAACAGCGTTTTTGTTGTGAATGTCGGCATTAGTACCTATTCTCCAGACCAGACATTTGTATTTTAACACCGAGGGAAACCTCATTTGAATCAGTTGTTTTCAAAAGGGAACAAATCCACTTTTGTATGAGCCTTGGCTTGCATGAAAGGACATGCTAACTAAGACTAATCGAGGAATGGGCCTGTTCCCTTTTGAAAACAACAGATTCATTGAATGCTATTCTTTTAAAACTAGTGGAACCACTCGAATAATTGCCGCCTATTTGCGTAGAAAATTACCCAACTGTTTATTTCTTTTTCCTTATTCTTTTGGGTAACAAGTTTACTTTGGGGTTTCTCGATAATATCGGCGCGGGACGAACTCGAGCACTCATAGCACGCAGGCCCGCACAATAAACCTTCATATGTCTTTAAACTAAAAGCGAAGAACACAGGATTCGAAGGCAGTTGCACCAGCAGTTTTACGATTAATATCCTTTGCTCAATAAAACCGAATGCTATCATGCTGGTCCTCGTTTTCACGGAGCCCAAGAACTCCTTCGCTAAAAATGTGCAAGTGGACCTGTTTTGTTTTGCTTCACTTTATTTTCTTGCCGCTCGGTGGTAAAACCTTAAGTTTCAGCCGCTGATGAGCGCTTCGTGAGCGGCTGCGTCTATAAATATAGTATCTAAGCGTCTGCTGGCATTATACACGAAAGGAGCAATAAAGACAAAATTTTCGAAATCGAGTTTCCCTCAAAATTTCACGTATCTAATTTGAACCAACTGGCTGATTCTACTAAAATGATAAAAGTCATCTAATTTCTAAGAATGAGTCATGAAAAAGCAATAAGGGCGTATAAATTAAAGCCGTTTCAGAAGAGGCAGCATTACATCTACGAGTATTTTGCGAGGAAGTAGTTGCTGTCTACTGCAATTCACACCCTTTTCTGCCCATTTCTATCCTTGCATTTTATTAATTTGTAAAATGGGCTATTCCATGTCATCCCCTCCCCAAAAAAAAAAAGTTTTGAAAATTAAGACGTTTCGGGTGCAATTTTTTGAGCTGTCCTAAGAAAAAATGTATCAATATAAAACTTGATAACGGACAAACATGTCGTGCAGTTAGTTATGAAAATACCTAAATTTTCTGCTAGGATGAAGGATCCTATCGGGAAGTAGTTTCTCCGGATCTTCTTCGCTCCACCCCTGCATGCACTAAAAAGTTCGCGGCTGATATTAATGCTGGTCTGACAGACTCAAGTTTATAAGGACTCCTGACATATGTAAGACGATGATGCATTAGAAATTGGAGAAAAATGAAGCAGAAGATGAAGAAAAAGAAGAAGAAAAGAAAAAAGAAGACGAAGACGAAAAAATGATTAGGAGGAGAAAAAAGAATAAGATGAAGCGAACGGATAGAAGAAGACAAACCAACTTCGACGGGAAAGAAGAGGAATAATGATAAGGAGAAAAGATGAGTAGAAGAAGGAGGAAGAAGGAGGGGAAGACAAAGAAGAGAGAGGAGAGTAAGAGGAATTTATTTTTACTTCCTCTTCCTCTTCTTTTTCTTCTTTTTCTTCTTCTTCCTCTTTTTTCTTCTTCCTCTTCCTCCTGATCTTCTTTCCTCTTCTTCCTCCTTTTCTTCTTTCTTCTTCTTCCTCCTTTTCTTCTCTCTTCTTCTTCCTCCTTTTCTTCTTTTTTATTCTTCCTCCTCTCCTTCTTCCTCCTCTTTTTCTTCCCTCTTTTCTTCTATCTCCTCTTTTTTTCTTCCTCCTTATTTCCTTCTTCTTCCTCCTCTTCTCTTCTTCCCCTTTCTCTTTTTCGTCTTCGGATTCAAAACACCCGAGTTCATCAGACTGGGATTCGACATGGCAGTACGGCTCATACATGACGGAACTTCTTGGCGGGGTGGGAATGAAGGATTTGTCCAGGAGGTCGGGGATTGGCGACGGAAGAGCGTCGATTTTAATCGCTCAATCATATTCTTGCAACGCAAACTCCTTGCCGGTTCTGGGACTTTTTTCGCGGACGTCAATTCCGTAACGTAGATAAAATTTTACGGGGCAACTAAAACAGAATCGCAATCGAGCGCCGGGATCGTAAGGAGACGGCAGGCATTGATTGTTCCAGTATCGAAGCTAATAGCTCCGCTCCATACTGATCCGCCCTTACTTGAAAAATGAAATAACACACACGCACCAAGAGGACTATATGGAGGGACGATTCCGCCGTGTCGCAAAAAAAGGCACGCGCCCTCCATCAGTCGCGAAGTATCCCAATCACGTAAATTTCTATGATTTAGAGAGCAAAAAAGAGAAAAAGAAGGGGAAGAAAAAAAGAAGTAGAAGAAAGGAAGGGGTAAACGGGGGGGGGGGGAGGAGGAGGAAAAAGGAAAGTAGAGAGAAAAATCAATTCTTCTGATTTGTCTTTCTTCCTATTTCTCCTTCTTCGGTTAGATCAATTAATTATATTCTTTTTTCTATTTGTCTTCCAATCGTCTAAATATTATATTTTTTTTTTTTACTCCTACCTTTCAAATTAGTTTTTTTTAACAACCTCGACGACCTAACTACAGAGGTGTTGATGGCCATAGTTGCTGAGGCACCGTTTTAAAATAGACTAAATTACTATTAAATCTATTACTCACTTTTCTTATTTTTCGTTTTCTTCTTCTTCTTCTTCTTCTTCTTCTTCTTCTTCTTCTTCTCCTCCTACTTCTGATTCTGCGTTTGCTTTTGCTTCTTCTTCTAATTCTCCTCTTTCTACTACTTCATTGATAAAGCAATGCGACTTCTCACACTTAAGTGTGCTACCTAAGAATCCGTTGCGTTGGAAAGTTGCGATATGCACAAGCCGCGAAGGTTTAGACATCCAAGGCGCCTTCAATTTTTGTGTAGGCAACAAGGACATCCGTCGAGCTGATATAGTTGTATTCTTTTTTGAGTTTCAAAAGAGCCGCAGTGCGTCTTTGGTTTTTGTTGAATAAGAAAATTGTTGAATTGGTTGGTGGTCTGTATCATTGAGTTATATATTTAACGAGTCTGCGGACACTTCTGAAATTCTGGCAGGTTTTTTTATGACTTTTTGGTACGGATTATTGTGCATTTCAGAGCATATTTAAGACATTTCTAGAGTTGTTAGCGTGCTCTTCGGGCCACTTTTCTCGGAAGATGTCCAATCAGGTGGTTGTCTGTATCGGATTCATTCCTCAGACTCAAATTTCCAAGAGGAACCGATTATAACCAGCTTCCCAAGCGGCTTTTTTCTACAATTCCCAACCCCGCTTTTGTGCAAACGATCCATTTTTATCTGATCCAAAGAATATGGTTTTGTAATATTTTTACATGAATCATGTTTAGTAGAAAGGAACGAAACCACATCAGCTATTGCCAGATTTGACCGGGCGATTTAATTTTTCACAAGAGAACGTTTGTGTGGATTCCTAATTGAAAATTTCAAGGAGTTTGCTTCGTACACTGTTCTGAAAATCCACTGAAATTTTCACAAAGATCCACACAACTGTTTTCATGTAAAAAATTAGATTTCCCAATCAGGGCCGGATTTACCTACTTGCCGCCCGTGGGCCGCCTGTATTTTGCCGCCCCCTTCTCATTCGTTTTGAAACATCAATAAAAACCATCAAATGAACGTGCCAGCGGGCGAGAGGGGTGCAAAAGACACGTTTACTCGTGTTGGATACCTTTTTTGCGAAAGCTCCATCAACACTACCAGCAAAAGTTCACGGAACTTTAAGTAACACGGAAAGTTAAGTTTCGTAAACCTATCTCTGTGCGGACAAGGCCTTCCATTCATAAGAAATGAACGAAAACATTATGAAAGAACAAACATAAATGTGGATTAATGATTTTAACTTCCGCCGTCGCGCCGCGCAGACCGCACCGTGTTTGGCGCAATGCGTGAATTATTCCGACAGTCTTGTAGGCGTTATGAGTTTCACGCCGACCGCTGCTGAACTCACTGTGTTTGACGCAATGCGTGAAGTATTCACGCTGTCTTGTAGGCGCTATGCGTTTCACGCTGATCGCTCTGTTTGCCGCATTGCGTGAAGTATTTGTGCTGTCATGTAGGGGCTAATATGTGTTACATGCCGATCGCCGCGCCGAGGGCTTCTATTTTTCTTCTCAAGTCTTCGTCATCGATTCCCTCTAAGTCGCGCCGTTCCAGGCCAAATTGCGTGTTTGGTTTTCTCTTACCTCGACTAATTGAAGGTGCTGCCTCTTGTATCACTGAGAGACAACAAAAATAGAAATTACTATACTCACAGCAAATAAGAGATTTTGTCGCCTTTTATCGTTTGTAATTTTTTTTTCTAAATTCGAATTTTCTATACCTACATTTAAAAAAATTTCAAAATTTGCCGCCCCCTATAGAGTTGTCGCCATGGGCCGCGGCCCATGTGGCTACCCCCTTAATCCGGCCCTGTTCCCAATTAAATTTTGCGATAGCTGATGTGCCTTGATTCCTTTCTACTTAGCGCAGTCCATGTGTGAGGACTCTTTAAAAATATTGATCGCTATTGGTGAGGAGGTTCTGTTCATCATTGTTTCAAATATCTGAAGTGAGCCGCTTTCGACGAACCGAACTAAGTGCGGTGCGGCTGATACAGAACATCGACCAAAGTTTTTTCTTTCAGAGTATGAAGCTTCGAGTGCATGACGTGAATGTCAAATCATGCGTAAGCCCTTGCTCGGTATTTTCGCATAGGCGAACGTAAGGACAACTGATTAAGGTGAGCGCATTGATTTCACCCGACGCGGCATCTCCTACTTCTCCCACTCATTCTTCTTCCTCTTCTGCTTCTCCTTCTTCTTCTTCCTCTCGTTCACGCCACTCAATAAGTTTAGGGTTGCGCCGCGCTCCGGCAAAGGGCCCAAGTTTACGTAAGTGAGATCATTTTAGGGAACATCCAATCAAATTGACTTTCCGCTTTTATTGATTTTGTGAAGAGCAGGGCGCACTCGCTTTTGATGACTCCTGAATTAAATTCGAAAGTTCCGCTGTGAAGTGAGTCTCGGATGCTTTCAGCCGGTACATACCGTCTAAGATGCGTGCCGTAAGGCGATAGCTCGGCTCAAAAAACACATATCGTCTAAAACTTACCCGGAAGTAGGAGAGCGTCGGGAACGCGCCCTTCCGAGATAGTGGAAGGATCCTGGAAAGTGTCCTCGTGACCCCCTTCGAGAGAGAACCGAACGCTGCCGTACTGAGGAAGAACGCCGTATGAGCCTTCAGGCGTTGCCAAATTGTGATGAAGAAAAAATTTTACGGAGAAAATTTTGAAATAATTTCTCCAATTTTTCAAGCAATTTTGTTCAAAATTTAAACTAAAAGGTCAGGAAATTCAATGAAAAATATGCATAACTTTCCGGAAAAATTAAAATTTTATGGAGGAAAATTTGGCAACTCTCAAATGTTCATACGGCGTTCTTCCTTAGCGCGGCAGGACGGGTGCGAAACACGGTTAAGTCTTGCTTATCCACAATGCAAATTTTTGCGCTCATGAAAAAAATTTTCCTTGTTTTTTGGTTTTTTAGGAATAGAGTATTAATTGGACCGCGTCAAGCAAGAGGAAACACAGCCGCATCAGCTATTGCCAAATTTAATCGGACAGTTAAATTTACATGAGAACGTTTGTGCGGTTTTTTGGGTGCGAATTTTAGTGAATTTTCTGCACAGCACGAGGCAAATTCCTTGAAAATACCAAAAATCCGCAAAAACATTCTCATGTAAAAAATTAAATTTCCAAGTAAATTTGGCAATAGTTGATCAGGCTTGGTTCCTCTCTGCTGAACACGGACCAAATTTTGGTCCTTTATTCTAACAGCATCGGAACGGGGAGATATTTTCAAAACGCTTATCCTGACATATTTTAGATAGACACGTTCAAGACTCACTATGGAAACGATGCTTCTGAGGATATCAAAAAAACACATCAGAAATGTGACGGAAACATTTTATTAAAACATTTTCAGAGATGTCATAGAAATGTTTTTGAAACTTTCAAAGTCTCGTTTACATAGACTTCGCTAGCTTAATGATGCGTACGTCTAATTTGATATGATATTCAAGGATCTAAAATGTATCCAGTGTAATAAACAAAGCTAGAAAACGGGCTAAAAATGTCCTCTAAAGGTCAATTTCTGGAATCTTAGGGTGTTTTTACGCCAAAATAAGCAATGCAAATTTAACTCCGCTGCGCCGAGATAAACACAGAGAGACAACTCAACACAAAAGTTCGGTTAATATGGGAAGTAAAACACAAAATAACCCGAGCATTCGGTTGTCTCTAGGGCTTCCCAGTCTGTCCACTATTTTCTGCGCTAAATTCACCGCAAACTAAACCAAAATCAACACAAAAATTGGATTGGTTTGTGTTCCACCTCCTATATTAACCACAAGTAGCACAAGAACACAAATATTTTAAACGGTGTAGTTATGTCACCTCATATTTTTCCACCATAAGGACCATTTTGCTTGAACTCATAAAAAATCACAAATCATTCATCTCAAATCTAGGATTGTAATTATCTAAAAACTTCCGTACTTCTTATATATTACTCTCCGGTAGAGCATTGAGTAACTCGTCAAATTGCATGGCTGCTATCACCGACTCATGGACAGTAGAACCTTCCTCCAGCCAATACGTCTCCATCTCACCTTTGCCCTTAAAAAATTAAAATAATAAAATCAGTAGGCTCAAATGTAGTTATCAGGCCCAAACTATTTCTCGAGTAGCTTCTTTCAAAGCTTCCAATGTGAAATGACTCTCCTTCCAATGTTAATTTCTTAATATTCGACGGAGAGGTAAAGAAAGAATCCACTAATTTTACTCATGTCTGCAGAAAGGGACTTATTGTTAATTTCTTGTATCCCATGGCAGGCACAACAACCGCAAGTGCAATCTTCTACATCATGCTTCTTTGCCCTGGTAAAAATTGGCGATAGGTTCTGCGTTTAAAAATACCAAAGGAGTTCTTATAGCCGACTGAAGAAGGCGATAGAAAATCATATAGCTGGCTGTAGAAAGTGGAAACAATTTTACGACCGGGCTACACGAAGCGATAAAAAATTATACAGCCGGGCTATAGTTCCTATCGCCGGGCTTTACACTTTATCGCCTAGCTGTTGCTTTTTCGCCATCGGCCATAAAAGGCTATAAGAAATTGTGTAGAAATTTGTGTGCTTTGTGAATCCTTAAGTTTGTACGGAATCCGGGAATCACCTTAATATTTACAAAACGCACATTATATTTTCCTTTACTACATTTTTTTTTTCATCAATTAAAATGAGAATAATCCATACAGAGTGTGCAAACATTTCAAAGTCATGAGTTGAAAAACGCTGACTCCACGAGATTAAATATTAGAGCCTAACACATAGCGGAGCGGCGGCGCACTGGCGCCTTCAAACCTAACAGGGATACTTTACGCATTGCGCAATGCGTGAAGTATCCCTGTTAGGTTTGAAGGCGCCAGTGCGCGTTCCGCGCTGGCTGGCTGCCCGCCCGCCGCGCCGCGCCGCAGCGTACCACGGCACTTGAAGCGACTATTTCACACCAGAGGTATTCACGTTAAATTTCACGTTAAATATTTCATGAAATTTCAAAAATTCACGTGGAATTTTTCATGATATTTCAAAAATTCATGAAAGGTATTGAAAACTACCGGTCCCTTTTTCATGTTTCGCAAAATGTAAAAATTGTGGCTTTCCTCTATTATTGTGTGTTTGAGTGCGGGTTGCATACTCTAGCCCCCGAAAAAATACGAAATATTTCACAGCCTCGTGAAACATTAACCATTTCAACGCCTCGTGAAATTTCATGAAATATTTCACAGCCTCCAGAAATTTCGTTAAATATTTCACTGAAATTACCAACTTTTCATTTCTTTTTTACGTTTCATGCCACCCTGAGCCTGATTCCCGTTGATGAGACTGTCTTCATTACTTTTCCGTTCCTCTTCCTATTCGCCGACCGTTCCGCGTGCCGGAACGCCGGACGGAATAGCAATGGCGATCGAAGGCGACAAGCTGAGCCGGTGGGTTTTCAAGTTGAATTAAACTCAGCCAAGTTACAGTCGAAGGAGGAGCGCGGGAAATAGCGAAAAACAAAAACATAAAAAAGGAAAAACTGTAATGAGCGAGTGACCCGCACCTTGGGGCTGATGCAGGAAATAAATGAATATTGGCACTTCTGAACTTGGTCCATCAAATTTCCCGCAAATCCACGTCCTCCTCTTATGTCGGATTTAATACGCCTCACACCAACGCGTTGCCACTTTCACGCCCAGGGATAATATAGGTTTCTTGCACACTGAGAAAAAACTATGGCTTATAAACCTATTAGAGGTAAATATGGAACACCACTAATAGTAGTACCTCTACATATAACAATAGCACATATACCTTAGTTATGGTACGGGGTACCTTAATTAGATACAGAGACCTTAGTATGGTTCACAGACCGAGAATCATTGGTTTATTTACGACTATTATAGGTGTTCCATATTTACCTCTAATAGGTTTATAAACCATAGTTTTTTCTCAGTGCACTCATGATGCACCTGCTATGCATATATTCTTATAAGTCTCAGGGCTCATGTCTTAATGCACATAATTCCGTTTGACAGAAATACGTCCAATTGTTCAATTTAAAAACCAAAGATATTCTCTCGCTCAGTTCTCTTAGTAGTTCCGTCTTAAACATGAAATTTAGAAAAGGTCAAATATACATGCAGATTCTCTATTCGTGCGGTTAATAATATTATTTTGAACGATGATTTAAGATTTTCGAAGAGGCGAAGGAATACAAAAACAATCAAATGCAATTGTGCGCTTAAACAGCACCAAGAAAAAAAAACACATTGGATCTAGAGTCCAGGCTCTTGAAAACATTGACAAGAAAAAATACTCTTGATTCAATCGGATTTTTGCTTGAATCAAAACGAAATCCGCTTAAATTAAGAGGCTTGGTTCTTGATGTAAGCTTTATTCTGATTGTATCAAGATTACTTTTTCTTTTCGATGTTTTTAAGAGTCTGGATTCTAGATCCAATGGGTTTTTTTCCAGTGAGCACTGAGTCTTTTTTTTTTTTTTTTTTTTTTTTTTTTTTTTTTTGCATTCAGTAGGGAATTCTCACGAGCTGAAAAAAAATTGGTTTGATCGAGATATTTTTCTCATAGCATTACTTGCTTGGTTCACGGATCTGACATCCATGTCGCTCTCTCATCCGTCCGTAATCGTCTGTTTCCGTCTATCTTTTCGAGCATCGGTCGTGACCACTCTGCCGGCCACCCACCCCCTTCACCCCTCTCGCCTTTCCCCCCGCCCCTCGCGCCATCCCTGACCGCCTTGCTAGTTTCGCAAATCGTAATGAGAATACAACTCGATGTCAGTGCGAATCAAGGCACTAAGGAAGTGGATTTGCCTCCGCCAAAGTCCGCCATGATCGAATCAAGAAAGTTGCGAAAACTTGGAACCATTGGTTGCCCCGAGAAATTAAAAGTTTCGCTTGGTCTGCCTGTGAGAGTCTTCATCGGGATCTACCATTTCAGCTCGAGGGGAAAAAATTTAGTTGATGGCTCGGCTCCAAAATGATGAGTATCAGTTGTAGAGGTCCTCCCTCCCCCCTCCCCCCNAAAAAAAAAAAAAAAAAAAAAAAAAAAAAAAAAAAAAAAAAAAAAAAAAATCTGTTAAATTTAGTGTTTGCGGAGACTCTTTGGAATATTTTCTTAAGAGTTGTGATCGATAAGAATCATAAGAATTGAACAAAAGTAATGTATCCTTTTTTTACTTTTAAAATGCCTAAAACATGTCTCCTAAATCATAAATTTTAACATTTTTTTCAGTATTGTCTGGTTAAAAATGTAAGAGTTTTATGCAAGTTTTACTAACGGTTTACAACGAGGGAATATGTTTGCGCAAACTTCATACACAAATAAAGCCGCTTTTATAGCGCCGCGCCTCGCGCTCTGCGACGCCCAATCGCCTTCGCCATTGCCCCCTATCCTCCCAGAGATCATCGGGCAATTGGCACCTTCTGATCTCCTCCTCCACCCCTTGTCGCCAACCTTTCACAGGACGTCCACGCCGTCGCCTTCGCGAAAACTTCATTCCTAAGTAAAAAATCCTAAAGACTCCGTAATAGACCCTATTTCGACTGTTCAAAAATGAACATGTCATTTGTATTCGACTTCATTTTCCTTTTCCAGCGTTAGGGTCGACACGCTGGTCCCCTTGGATTGAAACTCGTCCTTTAAAGTACTCAGTAGATAGAAATTTCGGCGTCTGCTTTAAATAAATAAATGATTTTTACCTTCAATGGTGTTAAGCCTCTGAAAGTGGTTTTGTAGTTTTCTCTATTTGCGAGGATTTTTGCCGTTATATTTGAGATATGGATCTTATCAGGCTGTAAAAATAAAGAATCTGATTTAACAGTGTAATTCGTCATTTGCTAAAAAAAAAAAACAACCAAATTGGAAGATGCTCTGAAATGAAATAAATACATTTCTAGAATACTTTGAAAATCCGGTTTGGTATTGACAGTGAAGTTTTTGCGACATATCGAAAAATGTATGGCTGAGCGCATTCCATGTCGGTAAGAATATTTGCCATTGGTGGGAAAAATTAACGATTGTTCTATAAAAAACTGAAACAAAACTGAATCGGTTTGGTAACACGCTCCAAAGTTTCCATAGCAAGATACGCGGTGTCTAAACTCACTCAGCGTGAAAGAAAAAAGTTGTACAAAAACTTTCGCAGAGTTCGAACTGTTAGGTCGTGCTCCTCGAAACTTATTACAGCCATCATTTCAAGAGAGAAATTATGATTATTCTATCACCAAATTCATGGGAAAATGCCGAGGGAAGAAAGGGTCCACAAACAAAAATTAGAAATAATTATTTTTTCGTGGAAATGAGAAGTTGAGGAACAACTCACTCAACTATTTGCATTCTAAGGCTTATGATCTCGCATACTTGTGTACAGTTCAGACTGAACAATATTTATAAATGATTACGTCAAGTAACGTTAAGACAACAGACCGAAAAAATCTTAATATATAAAGTTATATTCAGATCGAAATTGCGGGCGAACAGCTGGCCCTTTCAGGAGGGACGTGGTACCCGCCGGCACGTCGCAAAAAATGTAGTTCCGGAAAATTATCCGCGTCCCCGAATTTTTAAATATGTCTTTAAAAAAATATTCTCTAGGAATCACTGAGAATCCGATGCCAAGGCATTTTTACCATTTTCTAGTAATTTCATTTCATCCCTCTCAGTTAAAAAAGACGTTGGATTTACATCTTGGATGTTGAACAGAACTCATTAATGTTAAAATCACCCCACAATAATTATTCCAGTATAGGATGTACAATCAACTGCTTTTGAAATAAATTCAACAATAACTTGAGAGATCTTTTGCACTATCATACATTCGGATGTTCCATCAGCATATTATTATACATCTCTCCTAAATGGTCGTAATTTTACCTATTTCTTTCTCCTGGGGTATGTTACTCCACATATACTTTAGACCCTTAAAAATACAAAATATACATTTAGAGGATGGACGAAATTAACACTGTAAAATATAACTTTAATCAACTATTTAAAATCGATTCTGCCGGGAACCCGCGGTGAACAATAACTACTTGGAAAGTTAGTAGTTGTGCAGTAGGGTGTCCCACTTTGAGGGTCACCTCCGAATTTTGATGATGGTACCCTCTAAATCGTTGACCCCACTTATAAGAATAAGATAGTAGTGTGTAAATGAGACCTCACCATCCTTAGTGACATCCATATAAAAATTCCCATAAGGAATTCGAATTGGCCAAAAATAATTTCGCCAATCCTATTCCCCAACGTGTCTATTGCACCACGCAAATGGGGTAATGTAAAAACAAGGATGATGACCCAACAACATTGATGTTAGCACTACTAACCAAAAGTATCCGTCGCCAAGAATAAGACTAACATCTCGTATACAACAGGTAGGATAAACAACTGATAGCGTATGCAATTAGTAATAAAACAATTGCGCTAAGGAAACTGAGAAAAACAAGCATCTTTTCAAGCAACAGACATACACGAGGCTCCGGTAAAACGTCAGAGGTACCCCCACCTCCGCTCCCTGAAACCGAAGTCGAGTTTTGCGGTTTCTCCAGACAGTTGATACTGATCTGAGAAACGAAGCCGCTTAAAGTTTGACCGTACCGATCATCGACATTCCGCAGACCGCAGGTGTGAATTTTAGACAAGTTCAAATTANAAGAAAAACTGACTGAATACACTTCAGAAAAACGAGGATAGTCTTCCAAAAACAAGTGGCCAGGTGCCTAAACAGTAGAGGAAATGCATGATTACTTCCTCTTTGAATGCTCAACAACTGACGCTCCAGCGATAACAACAGGGCAGTTCATCCCTCTGTTTTCGGAACTGTGGCTATTTTTCGGCATCAATTCGGTCTAACAGAAAGTGATTTGAAAGGCCTTCAAAAAGTTTGCTTATTCAATTTAAGATGTTTAATCTTTGCTGGTACAAATCTCAGCGTCCAATAATGGCGCTGGAGCGTCAGTTGTTGAGCATTCAAAGAGGAAGTAATCATGCATTTCCTCTACTGTTTAGGCACCTGGCCACTTGTTTTTGGAAGACTATCCTCGTTTTTCTGAAGTGTATTCAGTCAGTTTTTCTTCTTTTCCTCCCGAGCTTCTGCCAAAGTATTTTAGAAGAAAGGAATGATGTTGTTTCTAATTGTTTGGCGCTTGGCTCCGTTCCCATTTATTTCGGTAAAATTAATTATTTTTTTCAAAAATACAATTTTTTTTAAAAAAAAGAAGTCCACATCATGCTCTCCCATTTTTCGTAAGTAAGTACTACTTTAATGAAACATTGCGTCGACATTTAAAGCGTAAGAATATGAATACAAATGTGATCTTTAATGGAAAAAAGAAAAAAAAACCCATGCACCTATCGCGACTTGAATAACGCTGAATTTACGGTTAAAAATAAGGGAGGGGGAAGGGGTGAATAAAGTGAAGTATGAATTTTGATCAAAGTGAGTATCAAAATGCAATTAATGGTATGTTTCATGTTTAATTGAACTTTGTCAGCTGAAAAAATCGTCATAAGACAAAAATACAAAATCTTGAAATTCATCGCGTTTTTAGCCGATTTTGAGGATTTTTAGCAAAAAATGGAAACGCATGATGACATGAACAAAATTTGTTCTTTAAAGTGCCCCAACATATGCTCTTACTGTGAAATTTTCAGAGCCCTAGCTCAATTACAATGTTGTTAAAAAAAATCGTCAAAATGGGCAAAATTCTGCATTTTGCCCTATTCCGGGGGGTGGTTTTTGGCCGTGCGCAACCCTTAAAAATTTTTTTAGAATTTTTTTCTTTAGTGCAATCTTATTCTTATAAGTGGGGTCAACGATTTAGAGGGTACCATCATCAAAATTCGGAGGTGACCCTCAAAGTGGGACACCCTATTGCGCAGGTAGCTTTTATCTTCTTATAGAAATTATTTTTATAAAAAGACAAATAGTTGGTGAAAACGGTTTGCTTACCTTCGATGAAGACTGAAGCCGGGCTGCGACGTTAACCGTGTCACCAAATAAACAGAAGCGAGGTAATTTGAACCCGACCACACCAGCCACCACGGGTCCGGAGTGGATTCCTATGAAACGAATCCAGAAAATCGACAAATAAAAGCTCATTGTCAGTAAAAAGTCTGCATGTTCTTGTAATGACCAACAAGTACCACATCGTAAGAGGAATACTCTTGCATGAACAAATTTTAAATTTTAAGTCGGAAATGTACTGTATTGATAACAGAAACACCCCTGAAATTGAATTTGTAAGGGAGTAAACATCAACATTTTAAATTCTAGCCAAAAATTTCATGTTTGACCTCTTCTCTTACCTCGTTTCACTGTGCGTCGGTCAAACCTGACCTTATCACAGCAATATGTCTTATACTAGTCGGAAGTATATAAGATCGATCGGCTTTTGAATCATTCTCAATAGTACTGAAGTTCTTTTTACATACCTATTTTAATTTTTGGAGTAACCCCGGACGGAACTGTGAGTTTCTTAATTTGACGCATGAAACACAATGCAACGTTAGCTATATTCTCAGCATGATCAGCGCATGTTTCTGGCGCCCCACTCACAGCCATATAAACTTCTCCAACTGTCTCAACCTGAAGAAAAGGAAACATTTAATTTGATTAAAAATAGGAGTGGATAGGGAGGCTTCGTGCGTTTTGTTTGCCGACACCACTACAGTTGCCATAATACGCTATTTCGCTTTGTAACGAATGGGAGCGGTCATGAATCGCACTTTCCTATCGTTTTTTAACCCTCTCCCCCCTTATAATGCTTTAAAACGCAACTCCAGACCCCCCATAATAATAATGCACCACCTTATAGACCCCCTCCCTGAGATCCCAAAAATGTTGGGGAACTGGCCAATGTATAGCTGAATTAAATGGAAGTATTTTCAATCGCTGCGCATGCGCAGACTGGCGACCGGCCGCGATCGCCAGGCGACTAGCAAAAGATTGCGCGGATTTTCTTAGAATTTTGTGTGTGTTTTACCAATAAAGACGGTTCCGTAACGTTGGCACGCCCCATCCCCCCCCTCCCCTTAGAGCGTTACATAATATATGACCGCTCCCCCAAATATGCGCTTTTAATTAAGTATTTTATGATCAAGATTGGTATATTTTAAAAAGAATATTGTTCTAGAATGAGCTGACCTTGTAGGTGTTGAATCTATCAATAAGCGCATCGAAGCAAGTGTATACGTGATTCATACTATTTACGACGTCCATGACCCCCTCCACAGTAGGAGTTCGCTTTTTGTTCAGATCCACCAGTTGACAGAACATAACAGAGACCATGTCGTAAGCCTGCGAACCATCAAAATCAATTTACAGAACATAAACACGAATAACAACATGTTTTACCAGTTTAATTACACGTCGTCATCGTCAATCCTTTTATTTCACGTGAGGGTTTCTCTACAGGGAAATTCGTCAGTGTCAATGTTGGCCCACTCTGATCAGATCAGTTTGTTTTGCTACCGTGCCAAAGAATGCCAAATCCGTCGCGCCAACAGTCATCGTGGAAGTATTGGGATGGTTAAAGGATGAACCACAAAATCAAAAGTTTCTTCACATGTTCATAGTCTGCACCAGACAATTTCATTCTTATGTACTTTGAAAATCGAATTGCGAAATGATTTATGAGCTGCCCATGAATGGACTGCGTTTGGACGTACTTACACCAAACGGAACTATGTGCGTTAAGACATGAGCCCTAAGACCCATGAGAATATATGCATGACTGGGCTCACGTCATAATGCAGATAGTTTCGTTTGACAGGAATACGTCCATTTAACAGAAAGGAATCAACTCCATTACAGTGTTTTCAAAGTCATATATTGTTTTTAAAAAAAAATACTAAGTACGTGTACTGTAGTAAAAATACAATATTTTTCCTTTGAATTCAACAATTTTGTTATTAGAGACAGGGCCGGATTAAGGGGGTGGCCACATGGGCCACGGCCTATGGCGGCAAATCCATAGGGGGCGGCAAATTTTGAAATTTTTTTAAATGTACGTATAAAAAAATTCGGATTTAGAAAAAAAATTACAAATGAAACAAGGCGACAAAAACTCTAATTTTCTGAGAGTATAGTAATTTCTACTTTGGTCGTCTTTCAGTGATACAAGAGACAGCACCTTTGATAAGTCGAGTTAAGAGAGAAACCAAACACGCAATTTGGCTCGGAGAGAAATGATGACGAGGACTTGAGATGAAAAGGAGAAGCCCTCGGCGCGGCGATCGGCATGTAACACATATTAGCGCCTACAAGACTGCACGAATACTTCACGCATTGCATCAAACACAGTGTGGTCATTGCGGACAGCGTGAAACGGGTAGGGCCTACAAGAATGCATGACTACCTCACGCATTGCGGCAAACACAGTGCGATCAGCGTGAGACGCATAGCGCCTACAAGACTGCGTGAATACTTCACGCATTGCGTCAAACACAGTGCGGTCTGCGAGGCGCGGCGGCGGAAGTTAAAATCATTAATCCACATTTATGTTCGTTCTTTCATAATTTTTTCGTTCATTTCTTATGAATGGAAGGCCTTGTCCACACAGAGATAGGTTTACGAAACTTAACTTTCACGCAAAATTCCGTGAACTTTTGCTAGTAGTGTAGATCTAAAAATCCGATTATATCAACCGAACCCAACAATAATCATACCTCTAAAAATTTTGTCACCAAAGAGTAAGGCCCCTTTTCTCGCGACTGGTCATGAATTTTTTTTTTAAAAAAAAACCAATAACTGATTTTTCTATGTATTTGGCAACTATTGTTTTCTGCGAGAAAAAGGAGATTATGGACTGCAAATACTATATATTAAAAGTTGTAATCCTCTTTTAGCCGAAATATTGCAAGACTTAGTTTTTGCTCCACCGAATGCTGAAATATTACCTCACGGGGATACTATAACATTTTCCCCAAAAAAATTATAGCCATTCCTGGCTAATCGGACCCTGAATTAAGAGGAAGGATTAACTCCGTGAGCTGACTGAATTAGGAGGGGATGGAGAGAAGAGGGAACGGAAGAATAAGAGACGTTTAGATTCCTTCATGGTGACAGAATTTTGATATAATTGTATTTGTCCTGGAGAACGCTTGGAATTCTTAACCAAGACCACTCATAATTGTAACTCGAAAACAATCTTTCCTATCATAATAAGTAGGACATGCCGACGGTAAAACTTTAAAGCCACATATCTCGCCGTTTGCGGTGTTTTAAAATATTTGCTCCCTATTTATTTCTTCATGGAGGGATAAATCGGCAGCATTCTTTGAAGTTTTCACAGAATTTTCTTCGCTCAGAGAAAAAAAATCACGAAAGTTCTTAGAAGTATTGACGTTAAGTAGTTTTCCATTTAAGAGATAAAGTATGATAAGAAGTCTACAACGTCGCAAACCGAGATACGTGGTTTGGGAATTTAACCGTCGATGTGTAATCTTTACTTACCATTACCCAGGATCGGACTTACAGGTGAATGAATGAATGAATGATTGAATGATTATTAAGAGGTTAATTTTATTTCGAAAACATGCCCACAGACAAAAACTTAGGTCATAAGGATCGAATTTCGGGTTATGCGGCACCTCAAAGTTTCTTTATCCAGCTAACGGAGGATTCGGTTGGAGAATCCGTTTACCTTGATAAGGAAAATAGCGGCTGAAATATTTCAGTTAAAAATTGATAAACCAACTTTAAAGACTTAAAACCACTCACTTGCATGAATCGTAAAATAATTAAAATTTCGGACGCGTTTCGGAGGTGCCTAACCTCCGTCCTCAGCGCGACTGGTCATTCAGGACGGAGGTCAGGCACCTCCGAAACGCGTCCGAATTTTTAATTATATTACGATTTATGCGAGTGAGTGGTTTTTAGTTTTTTTTTAAATTTTTTACCAGTTTAACATTACTTGTGCAGTGACTTAAACTCCTTAAAATTTTCATCTCGTGTTTTAGTTTATCGGTTTTTTGGCAGGAGGGTATTTTTCCACGTAAACGTTTAACAGTTGGTAAAAAGAGGTTTTTAATGGAAAAATATGATTTTTCCGTAAACGTTGAAATCCGCATTAATTAACGGGGATCATTAAAACTATTTTGCACATAGTTGAGTGAACCGCGAACAAACCGATAAAGTCTCCTTTTTTCCCCTTTAGAAAAAGTTCGGACTACAAAGTCGGTTCAACTTCCCTCGACTTTACGGGCACCTACGTCGGACGCAAAAATTTCATTTTAATTTTCTTCGGCGCGCAACTCGAGGGAACATTTTATTTAAACTGAGATTTTTTATCCGATACATTTCGCCCGCGAAAAAAAAAGATGCTCCGTTCTGAAACTTTCTTTTATCGTGTTTTCATTTTATTTTATGCGTTGTTGCGGAGGACGGATCAAAAAGACAAAGGGAGTGCGGAGCCCTAACTTGAGGAGAATTTCTCGACGCTTTGAAAGTATGACCCTATCCGCGGAGCTGACGGAAAATTGCACAGAATTTACGGAGGCAGGGAAAGTTTAAAGGTTCTTGGTTCAGTCTTTTGCTAAGCGGACTTAGCGTTTGAAGTGTCTTCCCACAATGCATTTCAACTGTACGAACTGCATAAAGAAAGATCTTCAATGCCTCGATAGAGCCATACACTCGGTGTCCTCGTCCTGGGTCCGGGCACCTTAGCCCGGATTATCTTCCTTAAATAGTTCCCCCCCCCTCCTCCGCCCCTTCCTCTGCTTCCGTTGAACAAAATTTTGTCCGCTACCTTCGATGCTGCAAAATCGTGCTTCGAACCATCCACAGGGTTTGAGTTTCGACATCCACACTGGGGAAAAAGAACACATTGGATCTTGAGTCCAGACTTAAAACATCGGCAAGAAAAAATACTCTTGATTCAATCAGATTTAAGCGTAAAGCAAGAACCAAGCTTCTTAATTTGAGCGGATTTCCTTTTGATTTAAGCGTAAATCTAATTGAATCAAGATTCCTTTTTCTTGTCAATGTTTTCAAGAGTCTGGACTCTAGATCCAATGTGTTTTTTTTTCCAGTGCACTGAAAAGAAATTATTAAAGTTGCCACAAAGAAATTTTTTTTCTTGAATCAAGAATAATGCTGCTTGATTTGAGTTTACTTGTTTACTTAATGCAAGAATTTTTTTCTTGTGTCGAGAGGAATGCAGCTCGAATCACTCTTGGCGGAAAAGTCAAGAATCACCATGCTTGAGGCAATCGCTTATTCTTTTCTTTTTTTCAGTGTGATGCTACCGGATTTCCCATCGAAACGTCCTAGTGGTGAATTTTAAAAATCTCGGCCAAAATTTTTGCGCAAATGCCTAATATACTTCAGCGCGATGTGATGCTCAGAAATTCTGAAGCAATTTTGTCAAATTCAGAATCGATCGACTATTAAATTATTCTCTACATTCACACACACATTCACACTAGGGAATAGATCATTGGGTATTCATTCTGATACCGACTCCCATTTTTAGTTAGTCCTTGGCAATGTAGAGAATAATTTAATAGTCAATCGATCCTGAATTTGACAAAATTGCTTCAGAATTTCTGAGCATCACATCGCGCTGAAGTATATTAGGCATTTGCGCAAAAATTTTGGCCGAGACTTTCAAAATTACTGCAAAAGCAAGGTCTGCGTGAACATTGCGAATCGTTTTGTCTTCCAATTTGTGAATTCTGTAGGGGTGTCCTAAAATCCAGAAATTATCGATTGATTTTCCGTCTATCTAAAGGTTGCCTGAACCACTAAAAATCCACCTTACGCATTTTCGTTCGCCACGAAATTTTTATTTTGAAGCCCTCCTGCGAAGAAAATTGGCTCAAGATCGACCTCCTCGGTTATACTACGGGCCCATTTGTAGCTTGTCAGGGAGCTTACGATATCGAAGAGGCCCTCCTACCGGTTCAAAATATCTTCATTAGTTACGGAGGGATAAAAAAAGGGGAACTTACCTACTTTTGGAACAACCATACATTCGATAAACGAATCTCCGCTTTTTGTGGAGAATTTTCGGACGCAATAAGTGGATGTTTTAGAAAAAAAAAAAAAAAAAACTTTCTCACCTCACATCAGAGGTTAGTGCATACCTGAGGCGCCACTTCATCGAATTATTAAAAGTTTTTCTCCCCTTTACAGAGTATCCTTTGAAGTTACAATCGCATAATAGTAGCTCAACTGGCAATTCCACCGTTGCTTATTGTATAAAGATATGAATGAGTTCTCTAATGAACTCCCTCGGAACCGTTAATTCCCCTGTCTGACGCATATATACGCTATGCCCGGAGGAAACGTACTCG